TGAGCAGGGCCTTTTTCTGTGATGTGATGCTGTATGACTTCATCTCTTTAACCTGTTCCCCCTCGCCCCTGTCACAGCCTTACAATCCTCCATGATCTCTGCTCTCCTCCAATTTGGGCATCTCATACATCCCCAGTTTTAATTGCTCCACCATTGGTAGCCGTGCCTTCAGCTGCTTATGTCTTAAGATCTGGAATTCTTTCCCTAAATCTCCCTAACTCTCCCTTCTCACTTTAGAACCATCTTTAAAATCAACTTTTTGGTCACCTGTCTAACATCTCCTTCTGTAGCTCAGCGTCAGAAATATTTGGAAGTGTCATGGTAGTGTTTTACCACACTAAAGGCCACAGTATTACCTGCTGATGCTGACATTTCTGGGCCACATAATCATTGTCAACGTTACAGGTTGTCACTACAACTGGCCAGTGACATTGGCGGACCAAGTGCTTTTATTCTGATCAGTGCATCTTGTTTTGCCTGCTGCAAAAGGAATAATTGAAACACAAGCCTCCCACTTTACTCAACACCCCATTAAATATCAATAGCCTCAGTTATCTAACACAGGGAGGCGTTGGCGTAGCGGTATTATGGCTGGACCATAAATCCAGAAACTCAGTTATTGCACTGGGAACAGAAACAGAGGCTGCTGCAAAAGCTCAGCAGGTCTAGCAGCATCTGTGAAGAAAAATCAGAGTTAACGTTTCGGGTCCGGTGACCCTTCCTCAGAACAAAAATGTGCAGGTTAGGTGGGTTGGCTATGGTAAATTGTCCATAGTGTCCAGGGATGTGTAGGCTAGGTGGGTTAGTCATAGAAAATGTGGAGTTACAGGGACAGGCTGGGAGTCTGACTGGGATGCTGTTCGGAGGGTCAGTGCAGACTCACAAGGCTGAATGGCCTCTTTCCACACTGTAGCGATTCTATGATTCTAGTGCCCCCCCACTTTGTGATAGTTACCCTGCATCTTTTTGACCTAACTCTATTCCTTTACAGTTTTATCAACCAAACTCTCTTATTAACTTTGTTTTGGCAAACAAATGCCAATACATATGCATGAATTTGAGTGGGGGAAGAAAGCAAACGGTTGCTTTTTTTGTTTGTTTTTCTGAATTTTTTGCAATCATTTTTAACTCGAAATATTAAACGCCAAAAATCTTGTAATATTTGTGTTGTTTCAAAAGGAAAACACTGAGGCAGGATAAAAGACTGCTCATTGACTCCTCAGGTCATCCCTGTATATTGATGTTAAGAAGGCAAAGTGAAATTGCAAAGGCGAAGAGAGAAACCAAATGGGGCTTCATTGAGTGGCCAACAAAAGTAGGATGTTGACTTGCATGGGGTTGAAATAAATGGACAGCACTTTAAAAATGAATGCAAATTGTGTTTTGAAAACAAATCCACCCCCAAAACTTTTTATTCTTTCTTTCTTTCCTGAAGGTATTACTCATCTCCTCCCCTCCTCCAATCTTGGCCCTCACCCTTTGGTGCCTGGAGATGCGTGGTCTTTCAGCCAGCATTCTGTTGACTTTCTGGCTTTTTTTGGTTGTTTGGGGAAGGGGGCTGCTGGCATTGAGATGTGGTCTGCTAATAAAGTTCAAGTTAAAAGTTCCTGTGACCTTAATGTCAGACTGGGAAGGGATGAATCAGATCATGAGAGGATCATGGCTGAATTCCAAACCATCGTCAGAAGAACAATCATACCGACAGCCAGAAAAACCACAGAAAGACATAGGTTTAACTGAGAATTTTGAACCTTGTCATTTAAATAAATGATTCAATGGCTTGTCAGGACTGTAGTTGCAATTCATTATCACTTAACTTTGTAATTTAGTTGAAACACATCTTCATTTCCCAAATTTGTAATCTGATTACTGTAAAACACCAGTAAGCCATATAAGTTATGGAAGGACACTTACACAGATAGTACAAATAGACTCAAAAGGCAATTTGATGCAATTCTGCTGATAGAAAGGACTGAGGGATTTGGTGAACAGATGGTTTAATGGGAAATGACCTGTCAAGATGGGAAAAAGGTCTGATGATTTGCTTTGTTTCTATTAGATTATTAATAGAGGATTCATCTTTTCTACAATATAAATTCATATGGTGTCATTCAAAAACACTGAACAAAATATAGCAAGACTAATAGAGTCATTACAAGGAAGTAACTTAACTCCACCGGCTCACATGACACCATAAACTGTAACAGTGATATTACAAATCATTAATTTTTCAATCCAGACATCAGAAAGGATCAACAATAGGTAATACACTGTTAGCACAAGAGGGATCAGGACAATATAGCCTTAGCAAAAACTGAATAATATATTAAATAAATAATAACATTAAAGCCTACAGCTATGTGAAACCATTATTCTAGACTTGACATGTAGCTAACTGTTGAACAATAGAATGGGCACTCGTCAGTGATGCCCACATCCCACAAAATAAATTTTAGAAAATAGTTGAACCAAAGTGGATTGAAGCAAAACATTGCAGATGCTGGAAATCTGAAATAAAAAGAGTAAACACTGGAGGAACTCAGCAGGTCTGGCAGCATCTTTTTATTTGTCCATTTATGGATTGTGCGCATCATTGACTAGGCTAGCATTTGTCGCCCATCCCTAATTGCACTAAGGGCAGTTAAGAGTCAACCACATTGCTGTGGGTCTGGAGTGAAATGTCGGCCAGACCAGGTAAGGATGGCAGATTTCATTGCCTAAAGGACATTAGTGAGCCTGATGGGTTTTTAAGCCTGTTGCCAGTGGACACCATTAGGCCTGCTTTAATTACAGATTTTTAAAATATATTCCAATTTCACCAGTTGGTCTGGCATGTTCCTGCACCATATTTCCAGAACATTAGCCTAGAATTCCGGATTATGACTCCAGTGACATAATGACTAAAATCTCAGAATCACAGAGATATTACCCTGCAGAAAGAGGCCACTTGGCTCATCGTGTTTGCACTGTCTCTATTATCTAGGACTATTCTCCCAACTTTTCCCCACATCCCTGCACATAGTAATGTCTAAAACACCAGCGACATGCTCCTGAATGCCTCCGCTGGACCTGTAAATCGCTCCCCTGTGGAGACGGAAGCAGAGTTAACATTTCAAGTCCAGTATGACTCTTCCTTAAAATTTCATTTCCTTCTGAAGGAGAGTCGTATTGGACTCAAAATATTCACGCTAAACAAACGGGCAACCCATTACCACAGGGAGTGCCAAAAGCAACCAGCATCATTGCATTTATTGAGGAAGAAAAGAATAGAAAGTTATGCTGCTCGAGTTAAATAAAGAGGGGTAGGAGGATGCTAACATGGTCCAAAAGTAGGTCAAATGGTTTGTGTCCACGTTGAGTATCCCTTTTGAGAGCTAGACCTCCCATTCCTGTTATTATCCCTCCACGGTACAGCCCCTGGTCTGATGGCTGGTAAACATTCACAGTGAACATCACCTTATCCCATTCATGTTTGTTATGGAATGCCAGTGACTAGGTGTATTCATCAGCCTTCCAACAGACTGTGCACAAGCATTTTTTTTAATTAAAACTAGATTTTTCTTTTGAAACGTCAGCAGTACCTCTGCATCAACCAAGAGTAATATCACAATTGTTGATTCTGATATGTTCTGGGGGTTTTCCTAGCACTGTTGTTCATTTCACAGTCCCAAGGGAAAGAAATTGAACAATTTTGGGTTTTCAAAGATTGGTTTCCACACTGAAGTTTGAAGCCAATGCACGAACTAGGTCAATGCATAGAGGTTGGTTGCCCTTGTAGGAGGGTCCAGGACCAATGGGCATAATCTGAGAGTGATGGATTGCACACTTAAAACAGGGAGGATTGTGACTCTGTGTAATTCCTTACCATGCACAGTGGGCTGACAAGGCTGTGTCATTAACTATATTCAGGGCTGAGATAGACAGATTTTTAAACACCGAGGGAATCGAGGGTTAGTTGATGATAATCAGATCAGCTGTGATCTTATTGAATGGAGGAGCAGACTTAAAGGACAGAATGGCCTACTTCTGCTCCTACATCTCTTCATATGTACTCTGCTTATTTGTAAGCGAGTTGTGTGACTGAGTTATGAGCTAGGTGGTCAATGGATAGGGCCTCAGTGTCCAATGTGCAGTGACTGAGATGCTGACGGGTACAGAGAGCTGCCACAGGATAAGAGCACATGACCTTTGCCACGACACTAAGCATTGATGTACGTAAGGTACTGACTCTGGATGCACGCCAGCTGTGCATTGTGGGTCTGGAACACCTTACTGTGATGGAGCCTCTCTGAATTCATACGGACAATGGTACCTGGTGTAGTCTGTAGCAGAAATGCACTTGCCTAGTGCGAGCACCAATTTGTACTTGAAACAGGATATGTAGCATTGAAATTGCAAGGGACCCATAAGCATCCAAATTTTGTGGCCCCAAGTAACCGATGCCTGTTTTAAATTTGCATTCGCCTGTCTACTTAAGACATCTCACAAACAGTTCACTGCAGCATTGTTCCCACCTGTCAGACATGGAGATCTCTCTGTCACATTGCCAGCACAAAAAGTACTTCAAAAAGATGAGGGTAAAATATCTAAGTCAAACTGAAGCAGGACAGAATACTAATAAGAGATTTCATTCACCTAGGATTAATTATAAGGTCAATCCAGCTTTAGTAAATGAAACATTTGCATCGGTAATTTTTCAAAGTGTCCCTTGGGGACTTGTGTCCTGATGGGTTAGCCAGATTTCAGAAATGGATTAGTGCGAATAGCATCACTTAAGATTGTGTAATTTTCTTTTCTTTGCAAACTAATAATTGCTATGGAGATAAATAAACAGCACCAAGCACCCCCCACCACCCCTGCTTCTGTAACACAAAGATCCCTCAGCAAATGTATCTGATGTAGGGTCAGAGGATTCAATTTCTGCTCTTCACTGTAGAAGACAGGCAATGAATGAGATGAGAAACCAGCAGCACTCGCCAACAACAGATCGAAGAACATACCTCTGTTTTCCTCCTGGTCCCTTGACATCTTCCCCTTCAGGGCCCTGCTCCAACTGCGAAGGTGTTCCCCAGACCGCAACTTGTCGGTGGAATCTTGCGAGATCGGTTTCAGCCAGGGTGGGCCATATCTCCGCGGCAACGGCTGGGGCTCCTTTTCCACCACTTCCCTGTAGCCCCTCGCGAAGGGCAGGAAGGCGAACTGCTGCAGACCCGCGCTACCGACTGAGCCACCCAGGGGTCCGTTAACCGTCCCGTCGCCGGGGTAGGTCACGTGACCCATGACGGCGCTGTCCCCCACAAACCCTGAATGCAGAAACATCAAGCTACCGGCCATGAGGTAAATGATGATGAAGGTGAAAAATCGGACTGGCTTTCGCCGGAAATACCGCTGAATTTTTATCGCTAATCTGGCCATTCCCGACTCATAACCTTCTTTTTGCGAGTGCTTCTTTCGTAATTCAGGGCTGAGGGTTAAAAACAAATTAGAATACTCTCTCAGAGCTTTTCCAAAACAAAATTACAAAGGGAGGAAGTTTTTGTAATCCACACCACGGTTGGAGTGGTGACACTATTATTAAATTCGACTATTTCCTCCCAACTTGTGCTTCATTAGTTTGGTGTTTCCTTGCGATAAAGAACGTATTCAAAAGACTCTGGCATTCCCAAGGCGATTGTTCATTGGGTCGCTGTCATCATGACAATGTTTGACAGAGCTACCTATGTTCTTTATCAACGAAAAGAGAGGGACTCTTCCACTCCAACCACAGTCTGCCCACACCCTCCACCCTCTGCCCAGAGTGAGAGGATATTTTACTCATCCAAATTTCTGTCAGTTGAGGCACCGTCTGGCAGAGCCCGGTGTAATCTTGTATTCACACCAGGCTGTCTTTGCTGAGTATTTTGATATTTGAATTCTTCAGAAAGACGCTGGGGAGCTGAGTGGTGGACGATTCATATCAGGTAAGTGAAGTGTTTGTGCAGATGGTTTGATCGTGGTTGAGCTGACACAGATCCCAATTCCTTTTCCAATCCCGAACGCCAGCTTCCTGCGAGCATCCTTTGGTTCGGGGTGGTGGAGAATTTCAAGTTCTCCCACTCTCACCGTTCCCCTCATGTAAAGGGGCCACGTTCTGTTCTTCGCCCGGGAGGCTCCTTCTCACTTCGTCCATCTGCAGTTCCTGCAAAATCAGAAAGGCACACAAAAATCAAAACTGTGGTGTGTGGGTGACCTTTGCTGAATGAGAGAGAGAGAGAGAGGCAGCACTTATGACAATAGTCGGTCTGTAACCTGAGGATCAAATTAACTTTATGGATCTGAGAAGCAGTTTTCTAGTCATTAACAACTTTGCAAAATGTCAGTCATACCAGTTAAAATACTGCCAGTCAGTTTTAAAGCCCTCATCTTTGGAGCTGTGACATTCCAGAACGTATTTCCTCTTTCCTTCATCACTTATCGTTCTGATCATTTAAAACCCTCAGGGCAACATGGTGGCTCAGTGGTTAACATTGCTGCCTCACAATGCTAGGGACCCAGGTTTGATTGGTCGACTGTCTGTGTTGAGTTTGCATGTTCTCCCTGTGTCTCCATGGGTTTGCTCCAGTTTCCTCTCTCAGTCCAAAGATGTGGTTTGGCAATGCTAAATTGCCCATAGTGCCCAGGGATGCGCAGGCTAGTTGGATTAGTCATGGAAAATGCAGGGTTGGAGGGATAGGGTTGGGTCTGGCTGAGATGCTCTTTGGAAGATAGGTGTGAACTTGATGGGTTGAATGGCCTGCTTCCACACTGTAGGGATTCTATGATTTAATTGAAAATACTGGAAATGTTCATCAGGTCTGGCGAATTCCACATGTGGGAACATAAACCGAGTTGATATTTCAGGTTGAGGAGCTCTGAGTCAGTTTGATAGACCGTAAATTTTTGGTGTGACATTCAGGTGTGGTAGTGAATCATAAAGAGATACCCGCAAGCTGAGCTCAATTAACTAACCACAGCAGTGAATTTACAGTAGTTGTACAATGGGCCTGTGCCTCTTTTAGCTACTTAGTGGTACATGGTTTCCTGCTCCAGTTTGGTCCCCAGCACTAGCCACTGAAGACTCTACTTATGTTCTGTAAATTAGGACAACATTGGGAGCATTCATTCACAAACACACAGAAACAGCCCCAATGTGGATTTGTGATGTTGCTAGGTTTAGATATTCTTAAAAATGTGACTATGTTTCACTACAGGTCAATTCACTCAATTGACCACAACAAAACAACATACATCCTCTGATGAATAAGTAAAACACAGAGATAACAAGGTGTAGAGCAGGATGAACACAGCAGGCCAAGCAGCATCAGAGGAGCAGGAAAGCTGACGTTTCGGGCCTAGACCCTTCTTCAGAAACGGGGGAGGGGAAGGGGATTCTGAAATAAATAGGGAGAGAGGGGGAGGCGCATAGAAGATGGATAGGCCCGAAGCGTCAGCCTTCCTGCTCCTCTGATGCTGCTTGGCCTGCTGTGTTCATCCAGCTCTACACCTTGTTATCTCAGATTCTCCAGCATCTGCAGTTCCTACTATCTCTTCTGCAGTAAACATTTATTTTCAGATGAAACTTGAGTGGAGCTAATTAGCAAGTACCCCATTTCTGATCAAAATGAATATTAATGAAGTAACTGAATAAGATTGCTCCAAGGCAACATTTCTGAGAACCACTTGCAGAGATTTCCTGGATTTATGATGATTGATCTCTGACAGGTATGACCCCAACTAAGGAGGAGTTTCTCCTTGACCTTATAGACCTCATTTACAAGGCTTCCTTAGCTCCATAATACATCAAATGGTCTCCGAATATTGAGGACAATTATACTCTGTCTCCGTGGCAGATTGGTCTAGATCTGGATCAATAGTGTTATGCATTCTGGTATCAAAGGTCTCTGATGAAAATTCAGAACTTCCTGGCTTGGCATAAAATAAATTCCTTGAAAGTTGACCCAGAACTTGCTGACTTATGCCAAAATGCCCTGCATTCTCATTGTTATATGCCAGATCAAGAAAAAAGCAATATAAACAAGTAGAAATGATTGGAAACAAATGGGTCCATTACACCATATTCTTTCTTTAAGTTCCTTTTTGTCTATGAAAATTGAGTCGTTGAACCATAACTTATGCCTATCCAACACTGGGCATGTTCAAGACAATTTGATCATGAACAATTTTCAATTTCTAATGCAATTTGATGGCAAAAAAATCATTCAAACTTGGAAAAAATATACTGCTAGTGTCAGTAAGAAATAATCTGAAAATAAATCCTTAAATAAAGAAAATCCATGTGAGCTGTTCTTTTGCATGGGATGGGTGGTCACTGCTGTATAAATCAGCAACAGAGTTTAGCAAAGGTTTTGTGGGATTAGCATAAATGCTTGTGGAAAATTAAACTGAGTCCAAACACTAACAATGAGCCACATTCAAATGTTCTCAATCTTTTCTGCTGAAAACTAGCTTTATTATATTGCTGTGCTCCACCATAATGATATGTGGCAGCAGTGGCTTGGCAACAGATGACAAAACTAACAACAACCACAATGATATTTGGTAGCTTCATATACAGCGCTTGTCACAGAACCTGCCTCTCAAAAATTCACCTCTTCAGCTATGAGTAAAGGTGCATCATTGGAAGGTATTCCCTCTGAATTGACATGTTTGCTGCATGTCCGTTTTTTTTGGAAATGCTGACAATATCGTACCTAATTAGTTTAACAGAGATCAGTAAATACAAAAATACACTAACAGCATCTATTCAGACCTTCTTTGCTTGAATTCTCATGATTATTAATGTTACTTCATCATGCAAATAATTATTTTCCAAAATAAATGCTCATTTATATGATGCATTTTGATTACTATTAACATCAAAGGTAATGGAAAATTGCAAAAATCTGTAGGATTTTGAAACTGTTTTGGTTTTGTATTAAACATATGATTAGGTTTTCTACTAAAGTGTGGCCAGGAGTTAATATGCACAGTGCCTCTATTGCTACCAGTCAAGTACTCATACCTATCTGTCACCACAGACACAATTAACTAAATCTAACAATTACATTGCATTTACATTTCATCTTGACTTCAATCGAATTTATCTCTTTGTAAACTACACAGGATCTCTTCTGGTGTATTTTAAAAGGTTTGGCAGTATATGTCAGAATGTTAAATATGTTGAATGATTTGTCCAAAGTGTACATTCTATGAATATCACACAGTTAGGTGTTGTGGTGCATTTCAGTTTGCTTCCTGTTCTGTTTTTGTGCCTGCAGCCATTAACCTTCGCAATGTCAGAATCTGTGGTCAACTTTAACTGCAACGTTGACTGAGTGCTTACGGTAAACTTATTGTCTACCAGATGACATTTCCAGTAAGCTACGTGTGGGTACAATGGTTTTCTAGGCAGTCCACACCTACAAAAGAATCCAAGGTAACCCTTTACCCTTACAGAGATGCTATAGTGTGGAGTCATATTTATTTAAAAATAAAATAAGGTGAAACAAAGGGTTAAATTTTACATGAAATTTCCTAAAGATTTTAAGTTCTACTAATCTAGCACCCAAGCACTTTTACATGAAAGCATTTCTGAAAATTATATATTAATCAAAACAGACATATTATTAATTCATAACAGAATTTTTTAGCTGAAAAATGGATGTTGCATATTGGTTTAAAAATATACAGTTTGACAAAAAAGAAAATTCAGTCACAGTTCATCCAGGAAGTCAAAACTTTTGTTTGTAAGAGATACTGGTCTGGTCACTATTTGTTGGTAGTTCTAACAACAGAACAATAATCAAGCACAAAAACAAAGTTGCTGGAAAAGCTCAGCAGGTCTGGCAGCATCTGTGAAGGAGAAAACAGAGTTAACGTTTTGGGTCCGGTGACCCTTCCTCC